TTTCCGATTATTTCCAAAAAAAAAGGAAAAACCATTTACCGGAGAGGTATCCGGAGAGGTATATTAAAAAAAACCATTTACCGGAGATTGTTTCAATGTATCCGTGAATTTCGAAGAGATTTTCCTCCGCTTTCTTTCTAAAATTTTTATGTACATATGTAAATTTCATATATATATTTTCTGCCTTATATATCATCAATATATTATGGGATCTAAATTGGTTGACCATTATTTGACTATTTTGGCTATTTTTTTTTTTGTCAACATCTTTAGCCTTCTTTTATTTGTCGTATTTTTAAGGTTTAATTTTGGGATTAAACATGGCCAAAGGCCAAATGGATACAGGATGGAAATGTATACATATTCATATGATGATTGGCCAAGTTATCTTATCATCTTGAATACATTCATTCATCAGTTGACAGTTGTTGTAAATGATATTTGAAACTGATGAATGAATAATTTAAAGATGATTTCCTCATTATGTTATAGTTAATGCTTATATTATTATTGAAATATTTCATTTGAACTTATGCAAATAGTATTGATTTCAAAAAATATTTTATATGAAATTATGAAATTCAATGAAATTTCAATAATTGCATTATTAAAAATTCTTTTAATTACGAAAATTTTTCATTTTGTTATTATGAAAAACAAAAAAAAAAAAGAAAAGAAAAGAAAAATAATTAAAGAATAGTTTTTATTCAACATTTATTATTTTAAAAAGAAAAGAAAAAAAGAAACAAAGAAAATGTGACATTAATTAGACTCATTTAAAAAAATTTAAAAAAAAGAAATGTGATATTAATTAACTCAAGCTTAATTTTATTTTAATAATACTAAAAATAAAATTGTCAACGTAAATTTTCATCGATCAATTAATATCAAATTTTATCATTACTAAATAATACATTTATACTTTTCCATTTATCAAAAAAGTTCTGATGATATAATATCAAATTTATTAGATTTATATAAGTTATAAATTTCCTTTCATATCGAATCATTCATTAATTCATTCATTATAATATCATTAATTCTTTTAATCGATCAACATTTTCCATCAATTAATCGTACTGTACTGAATACATTAACGCTTTACAAATTATCAAAAAAGTCCTTTTCATTTTTAAATTATATGAATCAATTTGTTACAATTTTAAAGTATGATTTTGTTGATCGTATCGTATCACATTGATTCATTCATTCATTCATTTATTCATTCATTCATTCATTCTGATACGATCAATTCCTTCAACCGGTTGCCAGTTTGATTTCTTTTGATGAATGAAATGGTTGATGCTCATCAGCTCGTTGCATAATTTTCTTTTTTTATCAATGCTACAAATAGCTTTGCTTAAATATTTTGCTATCATTAAAGCTTATTGCTAAGATTCATTATAATTGAATCATTATCAGAATTTCTGGTTGATATCACTGTGATTAAATCACTCTCAGAATTTTTGGATAATATCACTGTGATTTGAATCATTATTAGAATTTCTGGATAATATCTC